GGCGTCCACGTCTTCACTGATCGGCCGGACTTCGCCACCGCCGACTGTTGTCCACGCCTAAGCGGTTGGTTGGTCACACCACCGTTCATGGGCGTCCACGTCTTCACCGACCGGCTGGACTCCGCCGCCGCCTACTGGTGTTTCCGCCTGCACGGCCGGCCTATTATGCCGCCGTTGTCGGGCGTCCACGACTTCACCGCCGGCCTGCCTCCGTCGCCGCCGACTGGTGTCCTCGCCTTCACGATTGGTGTACTCCGTCGCCGTTGCTGATGTCAACCATGTCTTCACTACTGGCTGCAGTCATCGCCGCCGACCGGTGTTTTCATTGCTATTGATGGACGACTTGTTCCCGCATCGGCTACTTCTGCCATCACCAAGGGAATATTGAAAAGCTAAGTCATCATTTATTTTATTCTTTATATGATATTTTTCCTTTTCCTCTACCTCACTACACCAATTGGTCTTCCATTGAGTAGTGAGTCGGGGGCTACAGATGTTATATCATATTTTTCATAATATTTATCTTGATTGCTTGCGACATAATCTGAGTACAAAAGTGCCTATCGAGTTATGGAGTTCCATCTTCCTATGCTTTCCGTTTGGTTTGCCAATGGATAGTTGCCTTTAGGCCGATTCGTAGCACCCGGGGGCTCGTTGGATGGACCGAGTAACGCAAGGTGCTAAGTATTATTCGGAATAAATCAAAAGCATAGAGATAAGATAATTTATTTTCTGCTCTTAATAATTGCAAAAGTACCCGAGTAGTAAACTCCGATCCGTGAAACTTTGTTCCATTAATGACGAACTCATGTCACTCATATGCATGTTTGGGAAGTGCTTAGGCCGACTCCCAGTGCTTGGTGGCTATGACTAGTCGGGCAGAGTGTTTAAACGTAATGAGTCATCTGCTCGGGGAAATCAAAATTAACAAGAGAAGAAATACGTATTTATAAACTGCTTGAATTTTTCTCGAGTATTATATTTACATCAGATACTACTCATCCTATATATTTGTTCTGCAGGATCCAAATCCAGATATGCATAAAAGGGATTCATGGCTTTGAGCTTATCTCTTACGCTCCAGGAATGGATCAGTCAGAACATCACCACCGGCTCGCCGTCGTCGCCGCCGACTGGTGTCTTCGCCTATACGGTTGGTTGGTCACAACACCGTTGTCAGGCGTCTACATTTTCACCGCCGGTTTGCTTTCGCCGCCGCCGACTGGTGTCACCGCCTACACGGCTGGCCTATTATGCCGCTGTTGTTGGGCGTCTACCTCTTCACCGACTGGCCGCCTCGTCCGCCGCCGACTAGTGTTTCCGCCTGCACGCTGGCCTATTATGCCACCGCTGATGGGCGTCTACGTCTTCACCGACCGGCTTGCCTTCGCCGCCGCCGACTGGTGTCTCCGTCTGCACGGCTGGCCTATTATGCCGTCGTTGTTGGGCGTATACGACTCCACCATCGGCCTGCCTCCATCGCCGCCGACTGGTGTTTCCGCCTGCACGCTGGCCTATTATGCCACCGTTGATGGGCGTCTACGTCTTCACCGACCGGCTTGCCTTCGCCGCCGCCGACTGGTGTCTCCGTCTGCACGGCTGGCCTATTATGCCGTCGTTGTTGGGCGTCTACGACTCCACCACCGGCCTGCCTCCATCGCCGCCGACTGGTGTTTCCGTCTGCACGGCTGGCCTATTATGCCGCCGTTGTTGGGCGTCTACGTCTTCACCGACCGGCCGCCTCGTCCGTCGCCGACTGGTGTTTCCGCCTGCACGGCTGGCCTATTATGCCGCCGTTGTTGGGCATCTACATCTTAATCGCCGGTCGTCTCGTCTGTTGCTGACTAGTGCCCTTACCTCTACGTCTGGTTTATACAGCTACCACTACTGATGGACATCATCATCTTCTGTCGCCGACTGATTATGCCGCCGCCGACTGGTGCTTTTATCTTCACAACTGCGCGTCTTCACTACCGGTTTGCTTCTGTTGCCGCCGACTTGTGTTCACTTCATTACGGCAATACAACTTTGTCACCATGGTGGAGCGACTTCATCTTTATTATCTTCGGCACCGGCAAACTCTATTGTTGCTACTTCGCAAGTTTTACTACTTCACCAACCACGACGTCTTTGTGAACCTCGACATCTCGGCATGCAATGCCATGTTATTTTACTACAACAAGTGGCTCTCCAATATTCAGGATTTCTACTTGGACATCTTCAACACATATCTTCAATCAAGCAATGACTATTCGACGACAAGAAGCTACAGTTCTCGACTCTATGTTCAGTTGTTTCCCAACTAATCAAAGAGTCGGGGGCTACACAAATATAAGGCTCAAAATTTGACAAATTTTATGTCAAGCTGAAGAAATCAATTCATCAACCCACGAGTCAACTCCAGGAGTCATTATCTTCATCTTTGCTTCGGAGCAGACATTCTACTTCAACAACTTCAAATATTTCGGTTTAGACGAGTTGGGCAACAACATCAACTCTCCTCCAAGTGAAGCATCTACAACAGTTATAACATTAATTTGATGGATTATTGTCACTGACATCATCACCAGCACCTCTGCTTCATCGACCCTGACATCTCTGCTGTTGCTAATGGATGATTATGTTTTCGCCGACTTATTATTTCACCTTCACGGTTGACCTACTATGCAAATGCTGATGAGTGTCTTCGTCATTATCATTGGTTGCTACACTGCTATTGACTGGATCACCGACATCGTCATCTTTATCAATATCCTGCCAAGCCTCTTCAACATAGCCTATTCTACTGCTGTTTGATGGGCAACTTCGTCCTCATAGTCGATCATCTCTGTTGCTGCTTATCATCATTACTGTCGGTTGTGTTTGTCGTCGCCGACTATTTTCTTCATCTTCATGATTGGTGGATTTCGTCATCGCCTTTGATGCGTGTCTACATCTTCACTGTCGGCTTGCTTTCGTCACCACCGACTGGTATCCTCGCCTTCACGGATGGCTTATTATGTCGCCACTAATGGGCATCTTTATCTTCTTCACCAGCTGCCTCGTCTGTCACCGACTGATTATTTCGTTGCCATGGCTACACAACTTTATCACTGGGCGCCTTCATATTCATTGCTGGCTGACCTGACTGCTACCGACTGGTTTCTTCGCTTCCACGGCTGTGCAACTTCATCACTTTAGATTGGTATCACTATCTTCACTACCATCAATATTTTTGCCACCTCTGGTAGACAATATTATCTCTATATTGGTCGTCTTGTCTCTATGCCAACTGCGCCAGCTACCATCAATGGACAATTGTGACTACGACAGAAGGACAAGCTATATGCTCAGGGGCTTACTAGCTCAAACACAAGTATCATACCTCCAATTTGGACTTGTTCCGGATACATGCAACATGAATTCATAATCATGGGTCTATTTTCTATGCTCAAAGACTGGACTATTTATTATTCCCCGTAAGGGTTATCAACCGAATACTTGCGCCAGTCGGGATTTAATTATTATATTTATTTTGGAATATCCTATAAGGGATAATCACTCAGATCAGAAGCGATTGATATGAGCTACACTTGGTCTATATCACCCGTTCCAAATTTATTACTCGGAAGCATGTTACATGCGTCATCCTTTAAAGGGTGTCGAAGGCATATTTTTTGGCCTAGGCCTAATATGTCTGCAGCCCATATTTTCAGGTGTGGCCTGTCACGTTCTTTTAGGGACTTAGGCACTTTTTGCTTAGGCCAAAGTGCGCGTGATCAAGTGCCCAATACCTTAAAATCCTTTTATACCGCAGTTACTCAACTTTTTAGGAGTTGGTACAATGCATCTTAAAAGGTGTCAAACAGTAAAGCTTTATATAGCTGGCCCGCTGACTTTTTTATATAGTCATGGTGCTGTTTGGGTTTTTAAGCAATTGATTGGATACAATATCATTGCTTTTTGCCACGTAAGTGTGCATTTTTATTGACCAATATTATGGCTTAGGCTGATTATATATTGTGGTCATTTTTCAGGCGGTTGGTAAATCCTTTATGAGTTTATTTACTCGGATTTTATACCACATATGCCATATATTTCCAGGTGTGGTAGAACCATGTGTCTTCTAGGGACTTAAGCACATCTGTTAAAGCAGTGTGCGCATGGCGTATGCTCAATACTTTGGAAATTTCTTTATTCACAACATACAAGCTTCTTTATAGCTGTTTTGCTATGTGAATTTTCAATGATGTAGCCAACTTTAGGTTACACTCATCATATTTTACAAAGCAGTCGGTATATTACTTGGATCATATTATTCAGGGATTCACACCGCATATGCTACATATTAATATTAAGTCGCTTGGTTGAATACAATTATCGAAACCACTCGGTGCATCTAGTCGATGCACCTGACTTTATTTTTTCAGCCCTCCACAGTCTTCTGATTTGGAAAAAGTACTCGGGAGATCATGGCGAAGATGATTGAAGCACTCGGCTTTGGAGTAATCTAGTTCGAGAGAAGATTATCTTTCCGACTGTGAAGGTCTCAGGGGCTACTGTGGAGATTATGGGTACCCCATACCCACACGGCATGGTTATCCGACTAGTTATAGGGGATAACTTATATATATAAAATATGTAACAGATCATGACTTGGGTATTACGTTTCCCTGTATATTATGAAACGGCCTAAAGTCCTGGTTTGATAAGATTGTAAAGTAGATTTAGGAAACCGATACCGTATTGGTTAAGGTTTCTATCTTGTAATCCTGCCCCCCATCCTATATAAGGTGGGCAGGAGGCCCTCTAGGGGGCATGAGACAACTAGATCGTCAGATCTATAATACACCCGGCGGATTCAAATCCCCAAACAGGAGTAGGGTATTACCTCTCATTGAGAGGGCCTGAACCTGTCTAAATCCTTTGTCTCCACATCCATCCACTTTTAGGTCTCGTGCGTTACCCCGTTTTATTATTGCCGAATTCATGTTTCGACATGGGGGATACAATTCTTTGTACTCCTCAGCCTCGCGCTGCAGGTCATTCTCCTCCTCCTGGCTGGTACTCGCCGGCGTAAAGTACTCGTGCCAAAGATCATCCTGTGGATAGCTTACCAGCTGGCCGACTCGACGGCGATATACGCCCTTGGGAACCTCTCCTTCGGCAGCGTGGCAATTGAAGAGCACCGTCTGGCAGCATTTTGGGCACCATTCTTGTTGCTGCACCTCGGTGGCCCAGACAACATCACGGCCTATGCACTAGAGGACAACAAACTCTGGTTGCGCCACGCACTGAATCTTATTTTCCAGGTAATCGGAGCTTGCTATGTGGTCTACAAGCATATTATCGTTCGCAGGGAGGCCACAATCCTTAGAGTGGCCACCGGATTGATCTCCGCCGTGGGCGTTGTCAAGTATTGTGAGAGAACATGGGCGCTCTATCGCAGCAATTTTAGCAGCATCGGGAGCTCTCTCGAGGAGTTACAGGGTAACCAACTCCATTGGTACCAAGGGTACCTACACAATGAGGATCATAACAACACTAACAATGAATTCCTTCTGCAACGTGCTCACTCCCTGTTTCACATATGTAAGCGTGGGATAGTAGACTCCGTGATCAATGAGGATACTGAGAATGCTGAGGCGGAAACCACCAAGGAAATAATCAACAATCTTAGTGAAGAGCCCCAGCGGATGTATAAGGTAATGGAGATGGAACTGTCCCTGATGTACGATATTCTCTATACCAAGGCAGCCGTAGTCCACACTTGGATTGGCTACTGCATCCGAGCCTTGTCACCCTTTGCTATTGCCACCTCCTTTCTGCTGTTCTATTTCTGCGGCAGCGAGGTCAAGGATGGCCAGAATGGAGTCGACACCGCTGTTACCTATGTCCTGTTAGGCGGTGCCCTCTTGATGGAAACAACGTCCCTCCTCAGCGCTCTGGGGTCAAGCTGGACGCTTTCCTTCTTGTGCGCCAGGAGGTGGAGTTGGCTTCAACATGTCGCTCTATGTGTCGGAAGATGGTACCAGCTCCGACGGGCAGTCCTGGCTGTTCGCAAGCGCGTCGCAGCCTTGACGGGAGGCCTTCTCGGTGGATCAAGAAACTGGTCGGGCACCATAGGACAGTTCAATTTGCTCTACTTCCGTGCCACGCAGGTCAACCCAACCAACAAGCAATTCGGTAGGCTCATTAAGAAGCTAGGGTATGGTGACGAGTGGGACACCGGTTGTTATTTGTGGGACATCACAATTCCCGAGCTGGTGAAGCAGAAAGCATTGAGAATGGTCTCCAAGTATGATCTCAACACCATGGGCTTGCTCAGGCATAATTGGGGTGAACTGGCACTGAAAAAGCATACTGAACCCTCAAAAAAAAATAAAAATTGTACTGAACTGCTGGAAGAGCTAGAGAAATTGTGGGGTGACGACTTCCACGGGAGCATCATCATCTGCCACATTGCCACAGACCTTATCCTCGCTGAGATAGAAAAGAACAAGGCCGGCGAAGACGACGCAGCACAACTCCAGTGTGTCGGCTCGATCAGGGCACTATCCAACTACTTGATGTTCCTCCTTGTGGCTCACCCGGATATGCTTCGAGGCCTTCCCCAAAAATGGTTGTACCAGCGGACCTGTGAGAACGTTGATCAAAACTGCAAAGAGCATCGTGAAGAACTCATTTCTTCTGGTGGAAAGGCTAATAATGTGATCTTTATGGTGCTCATGAAGCTGTTCGGTGGCCATAGTAATAGCTCAACATCTATTGGGCTCAGGCAGACGAATGCACTCGCTAAAATCCTATACAAGAGCCTGCCCAGCCAATTTGACCCCGCAATTCCTCGCCTTACTTATGCAAGGTTGGTTGCCAAGGAAATAATAAATTGGAAAGATGAAGATGGTCAATTGAAGAAGCCAGATGCAATATTGAAGGTGCTGCTTAACCTGTGGACAGATTTTCTCCTCTATGCTGCCAACAGGTGTAACAGGGAGTCTCATGCCAAGAAGCTCAACACTGGTGGTGAGTTTATTACTATTGTGTGGCTAATGGTTGAACACATATACAAAACAAAATCAAAAGGAAAAAAAGTTGTACCTGTCGGGCCATGATAATATCTATTGTTAGTGTTATATATTCTCTCTATATTCAATCTTAAAGGATATTACTGTAACATTCCCAAAACGTGTAAACTTCAAACCATCTGTTCTCAGCAATATAATTGTTTCCCTTTGCGTGCTTTTTTTTTGTTATGTTGCTGGATTTTCTTGCATGGCATATATAGTTGCATCTGATGTGCATTATCAAATTGTCTTAGAAGAATTCATACAACTTATATGTGCATAAAAAAATTTGACATTCCAAAAAAAAACTAAATTTTCGCCAATTTTGTCAACTCATTTGATACGTCGATTGAATCAGTCAAAGTTGATAAAACAGGAATTAAACCATAAATTTTAGGGTTGGGAAATCAAAAAAATGCCACTCTATTCGCTTTATTGGCTGGGTGCCACTGAAATTTTGTAAAATTAGAGATATGCCACTCCGTCACAGCAACTGCCAATACCTCCGTTAGCTCTGTTATCGCAGATCCCTTTCTTCTCCAACTCAGGCAAAAATCTGGCGGCGCTCAGGCTCGTCGACGACGGGGTAGAGAGGGCTTCTCCGGTGAGGGTGGAGGGAAGCGCCGAGCCCGAGCCCCGCGCTGGAGGAGAGGGGCGGTGACGGATCCCGCGCCACCGATGGAAGCTGGACGGGAGCAGCTCAACCCCCGCGCTGGAGGAAGACGGCGTGCAGAGGATACGCGGGTCGCCGGCGACGGCGGTGGTGATGTCAGCGGCGGAGAGGCCGAGGTCGGCGAGGAAGACGACGACGGCGTCTGGCCTAGACGGCGATTTGAGGTGTGAGATGGTCTTGGAGGCAGCGCGAGGCAGCGCAGGTCGTTGACGGTGTGGAGGAAGCGCTCGTCTTCGTCGCCGACGAACCGGAGAAAGATGAGGTGTGAGATAGCCTTGGAGGCGGCGCGAGGCAGCGCAGGTCGTTGACGGTGTGGAGGAAGTGCTCGTCTTCGTCACCGTCAAACCGGAGCAAGATAAGGTGTGAGATGGTCTTGGATGTGCGAGGCAGCGCAGGTTGTCGATGGTGTGGAGGAAGCGCTCGTCTTTGTCGCTGTCAATCTCCGAGGTCGAGCCGCAGCAGCAGCGCCGCCTCGTCCGCCTCTCCGTCGAGCTCAGCATGCCGGATATGAGAAAGGTGGGAGGGGATGAGGATGGAAACAGAGACGGCATGAGAGAGGAGATGAAAAAATGGTTTGGAGTGGCATGGTTCTAATTTTAGTAATTCCCAGTGGCATATAACCGATATGATGAATAGTAGTGGTATTTTTTTAATTTCACAAAGTTTTAGTGGCATGGATCTAATTAACCCTAAATTTCAACCCTCTTCAGTCTTCACAATTTTGCCACATTCAAACCATAGCAAATATGTCTACCAAACCTCTCACATATGTTGTATACATTAGTTACTCGGCTTGCTGTATTAAACCCAGAATTTTTGGGCAAGCTAGCTAGCCATGCAAGAACTTCCCAACCCAATAACTAGGATGATGTTTATAAGATGATGTTTATAGCATTAAAGAAGCTACCACCTAGGATGAATAATGATGTGGCAAGTGAATAAATAAAAAAAGAGAAGGAAACCATGTCTCGCATAAGACATGATTTCTACACAATATCTAAGACATCATGTGAGATAAGTAGCATTAAATTTAAGTATGAAATAGTGGTGTTTGTATTGGAAGAAAATTACTACCTCCGTCCTATATTACTTGTCGCTTTGAGTTTTTGTTTGTAAAATTTGATTATTCGTCTTATTTCAAAAAATTTTGAAATTATTATTTATTTTATCTGTGACTTGCTTAATTATCAAAAGTACTTTAAGTATTACTTATCCTTTTTTATATTTGCATAAATTTTTCAAATAAAATGAATGGTCAAACGTTGAAAGAAAAAAGTTAAAGCGACAACTATTACGGGACAGAGGTAGTATCTAGTACTAGTTTCTTGATGATGTAGAGTTTATAAAAACTATAGCTATGTCTAGTGTATTGGGTTAGGAATGGCCTTAAACTATCCGTTTTTAACTCAGTATGCTACCGCTTTGTCCATCTCCGGTTTCCAGCGAAAGAGGTCCCGCACCGACACTTTGATCTCCTCCTGTGATTCCACTTGACCTGGATCAACTTGTTATGCGCATGAATGTTGGCCATCATCTTGCTTAGTTCCGAAAGTTGTTTCTCCGCCTCGTCTGTCATGATCTGTGCTCCTGAATGATAGCGTGGCTTGCCAGAAAACCTCTAGGTCGATAGGTCGACTGCTCTGATACAGGATGTTATGTTTCTTGATACAAAGAAGACAAGGGAAATGCGAACAGAGAAACGACTTGCATTGGAAGAAGAAGCAGTTGGAAGCGGTGTGGAAAAAATCTAATTATTGTATTTTGTTTGTTTTCTGATCTATTACATCGAACCTTTCATGGGGTATATATAAAAGTACACAGGGGATAGAGAATATAAGTAAGAGTAGATTTATCTCTAGGACTCTATCTTATCTCTAGGATTATATCTCTAGGAAATATCTTACCTCTATATTTGTATTTGACTGTTATCTCTAACCGACATAGCTATCTTTTCAACAAGCGGTAAAATTTTGGATTGGGGAGATAGAGCCCGTGTTTAGCTTGTACAAGTTCAGCGAGATTGCTAAGGGGCGATCGATCGCCCCTAGCGATCGCCCATAGCACGCCCCCCCTCTCCACCTCCACGTGGTTTCTTTTTTAGCACTGCATTATTTTTCTATTTTAGTAAATTTATACACCTAAAGTTTGTACACCTCAGTTTACACATCTAAAGTTTAGAGACCCAAAGTTTATAAATCAAAAGTTTATATATCCGTACAGTATTTCTATACATCTAAAGTTTATAAACCTAAAGTTTATAGACCCAAAATTTATAAGTCAAAAGTTTACATACCCAATTCAAATTTAAATTTGAATTATATCCGATTCAAATTTGAATTTGAATTCAAATATTTTTTATATATAGTATTTCTATACATCTAAAGTTTATACACCTAAAGTTTATAGACCCAAAATTTATAAGTCAAAAGTTTACATACCCGATTCAAATTTAAATTCGAATTCAAATATTAGTTCATAAGTCAAAAGTTTACACACCCGTTTTAAATTTGAATTTGAATTCAAATTTTTTTTATATATAGTATTTATATGCATAATTTTTTTTAACTTTATGTTTTTTATTTAAATTTATGGTGTAGTAGGAAAAGAAGAAGGGGAATAGGAAAGAAGAAAGTAGTGTATAGGGGGATTGGGGTGATATGAGCGATCACCCGCCCATTAGCCGCCCCCAAGTTCAGAGAGAACCAGTCAGTTGCCTGGTAGCAGAAGAAAAACACGATTTTCTATTCTGCAGTCACCTGCAAAATTCGTAATTGGTCAGTCGATTTCTTTGTCTATCCGATTCGCTTCATGATACGTGCATGTTATATATGCTTTTAGGTTAGTTTATTGTATCTTTGAAAAAGTACGAATTACCTCCTTAACTGTCGCAGTCGTCCGAATTATCCCCTGAACCACAAAACTGGACATTCTTTACCCCTAACTATACAAACCGGACGAATTACCCACCTCGATCCAATCCGCAGTGGTTTTGGTCTACGTGGCGTACACGTGGCAGTCCAGTCAGCATTCTATGCATAAAAAATATGAGACCCACCTGTCATATCCTCTTCCACTATTCCCCCCTCTCTCTTCCTCTTTTCTCTCTCTTCTATGTGGGACCCACCTGCCATATCCTCTTCCACCTGTCATGTCTCATTCTTCCCCTCTCTCTCACACACCCACACGGCGGCAGGCGGGGAACACGAAGTGGCGGCGGCGCGCGCGAACGCACGCGGGCGGGGGCCGAAGGTGGCGGCGAGGACGGCAGCACGCACGGCGCGGGGCGTGCACGCATGCAGACAGGGGCGGCGGCGGCGAGGACGGCGGCACGCACGCGGCCAAACGCTCGAGGCGTCGACCTCCCTCTGCCCCGCGCGCTCTTGTCCTCCTCGACGCGCCGCCCCATCAACGCCTTCAACAAGAGGGTGGGCGACCTCCGGCACGTCGCCGTAGACGCGTTCGCGCGGCTTAAGGCGCGGTGGGCGTGCCTCCAGAATCGCACGGAGGTGAAGCTCCAAGACCTCCCCGTCGTGCTTGGCACCTGATGCGTCGTCCACAACATCTGCGAGACACGCGGCGAGGAGCTCGAGCCGGTGCTCCAATATGAGCTCATCGATGACGAGACCTCGCCGGAGACCCACGTCGGCTCTGAGGCCGTCAAGCGCGACAGGGACAACATCGCCCAAAACCTCCTCCACCGCGGCTTCGCCTGAACCCACCTTCTTATGAAGATCGATTCGATAACACCACCGCCGCTTCTTTATTTCCCCCTTGGTACAAAATCCCCGACAAAGTAGCGATTCTTTTAGCCGCTAGAATAGAAAGATTTTTGTGATTTGTCAATGTCCTGCAGACCTGCAGTTTGATTGCTTTGCTTTGTCGTCGGCGCGAACTCTTCATTGTTTGATTGCCGCGTGCGCGCTGCAGCGCCGTGCATGCCGCCGTCCTCGCCGCCGCCGCCCCTGTCCACATGTGTCGAAACATGAATTCGGCAATAATAAAAGGGGGTAGCGCACGAGACCTAAAAGTGGATGGATGCGGAGACAAAGGATTTAGACAGGTTCAGGCCCTCTCAATGAGAGGTAATACCCTACTCCTGTTTGGGGATTTGAATCCGCCAAGTGTGTATTGATCTGACGATCAGGTTGTCTCATCTGCCCCCTAGAGGGCCTCCTGCCCACCTTATATAGGATGGGGGGCAGGATTACAAGATAGAAACCTTAACCAATACGGTATCGGTTTCCTAAATCTACTTTACAATATTATCAAACCAGGACTTTAGGCCGTTCCGTAATATACAAGGAAACGTAACACCCAAGTCATGATCTGTTACATATTACATAAATATAAGTTATCCCCTATAACTAGTCGGATAACCATGCCGTGTGGGTATGGGATACCCATAATCTCCACAGTAGCCCCTGAGACCTTCACAGTCGGAAAGATAATCTTCTCTCGAACTAGATTACTCCAAAGCCGAGTGCTTCAATCATCTTCGCCATGATCTCCCGAGTACTTTTTCCAAATCAGAAGACTGTGGAGGGCTGAAAAAATAAAGTCAGATGCATCGAATAGATGCACCTGATAGGTGTAACCCCCGACTATGTGGTTAGCTGAACAAACCAAACATATAGTCAAGGAATAAGTTATCCAATTAACCGAATGGTTTTTGATAATTATAGTCAACCAAGTGACTTGATACCAATATATAGCATATGCGGTGTGAATCCCCGAATAATATGATCCAAGTGATATACCGACTGTTTTGTAAAATATGATGAATGTAACCTAAAGTTGGCTACATTATCGAAAATTCACATAGCAAAACAATTATAAAGAAGCTTGAATGCTGTGAATAAAGAAATTTCCAAAGTATTGGGCATACGCCATGCGCACACTGCTTTAACAGATGTGCTTAAGTCCCTAAAAGACACATGGTTTCACCACACCTGGAAATATATGGCATATGTGGTGTAAAATCTGAGTAAGTAAACTCATAAAGGATTTACCAACCGCCTGAAAAATGACCACAATATATAATCAGCCTAAGCCATAATATTGGTCAATAAAAATGCACACTTACGTGGCAAAAAGCAACGATATTGTATCCAATCAATTGCTTAAAAACCCAAACAGCACCATGACTATATTAAAAAGTCAGCGGGGCAGCTATATAAAGCTTTACTGTTTGACACCTTTTAAGATGCATTGTACCAACTCCTAAAAAGTTGAGTAACTGCGGTATAAAAGGATTTTAAGGTATTGGGCACTTGATCACGTGCACTTTGGCCTAAGCAAAAAGTGCCTAAGTCCCTAAAAGAACGTGACAGGCCACACCTGAAAATATGGGCTGCAGACATATTAGGCCTAGGCCAAAAAATATGCCTTCGATACCCTTTAAAGGATGACGCATGTAACATGCTCCCGGGTGATATAGACCATGTGATCTGAGTGATTATCCCTTATGGGATACTCCAAAATAGATATAAAAATTGAATCCCGACTGGCGCAAGTATTCAGTTGATAACCCTTACGGGGAATAATAAATAGTCCAGTCTTTGAGCATATAAAATAGACCCATGATCATGAATTCA